CCAAGGACACCAAAATGAGGATAACTACATCTCACTCTTTCAGTCAATCATTTTTAGGATGCACTCTGATATTCCTAAAAGACCCTGACCCCAGCCCACCCTCCCCTGTGCACAGCCCCCATGCTCTCCAGTGTGTGCCCCCCGCACCACACCCCCCAGATGAACTGCTTACGTCTCTGTCCTGTGCCCCACCCCAGCCATACAACGCCTGCCCCAGCCCCACTTCCTGGATGAGCAGATCTTCCCAGACCTGGCAGGGCTGGGACCCAACCCCACATGAGTCTTGCCACTGGGCTAAGCCACATCCTCTGAGCAGCAGAGCACATGTGGTGTCAGGCCCTCGCCTAGCTGGGTCCGGGACTATCTGCTTTACCAGGGGTACGTGGAGGGGGCTCCTGCTGCTGGTCTCACCGAGGTGGAGGCCCAGGGGACATGTTCCCCTCCCCAATCTCTGCACAGGGCATAGGCAGCTGCTGCTGTGGGCTGCCCTTTGTGCTCCGAGCAGAGGTGGGGGGGCATGGCCCCCTGGGGTCTCTGTCAGGGTGCGCCCAGCGGTAGGAGACCCCTCCCCCCCCATGTCCCTGGATGAGCAAATCTTAGAAGATCTGGCTGTGGTGGGGCCTGACCCCATGCGAGTCCTGCCACTGGGCTGAGCCATGCCTATACATGGCCAGCGGCAGCAGCTCTGCTGTGCTCAGATGGGGGAGGGGCGGGGAACACATGCCCCCAGGGCCTCCACTGGAGTGTGCCCAGCAGTGGGAGGCCATCCTTCCCCATGCCCTTGGACCAGCCCCCCAAGCTCCCATTCTCCCACCACCTGGACAGGCTGGGGCCCCAATCACCTTCCCCTGATCCTGGCTGTGCTGCACTCCATCTGTCCCTCACTATGGGGGGCCTCCATCTGGACCCTGCCCCTTCCCTCACCTACAGACTGATCTGTTGGGCTGGGAGGGGGCGTGTGTGTGCATGCGTGCACACGCCCAGCCCAGGATCAGCCAAAAGAGACTCTGTAATCAACCAGTCAAATCATGATCGCTGGTTCGCGACCCCTGCTTTAGGACCAATGGGTCTTCAGTATTCTCAGCAGGAGATATTTTATTCAGTTTGAATCTCCTTTATCCAGTACTCTGTTCCAATTTTAGGGATAATTTTAGGGCTTCCTTCCAGGCCACAAAGACCTTTTCTTAAAGGGCTCTTGCTGGTCCTCCTGGCCCCATAGTCTTCCCACAGTAACAGGGCAAGGGTTCCCCATTACACTGACCCAGTAAATGGCATTCCTAATGTCTGAACAACTATCTGGTCCAAGGATAATCACTCAGCAAGTAAATGGCTTGATTCAAGTGATCTTAGAGGTCTTCTGTCATTAATAGTCTAATTGTTCTTAAGGTTAGAAATGTTTTCCTATTATGAAACCTAAATCTCTCTTGAATTTGGCAGTTACTTTTCATCTTACTTTGTGAGGATATAGGAAAAGAAATCATTCCTTCTATAAGAGCCTCCTACATTTTGGAAGATCTATTGTTTCTAGTCTCGAGCATGCGTGCTCTTCTGCATGCTCTCTAGTAATTCTGAGAGGTTTTGTTGACAGGTTTTTACATATTTTGTCATGGCCACACTCGCCACTTAGGCAATGGGCAGGGGGAACAGGCAGGAAAGCCAGCAATGGGCAGGGGGAACAGGCAAGAATGCCAGTGCCCCCCCTGCAAGCGCTGGCCAATTGTTGCGCTTGCTGCAGACGCTTTCAGGAGGGGCTGTGGCGATTAGCTGGCGTGTGCTCCCAGAAATAGCCACAGCCCCTCCTGGAAGGAGCTGTAGCAAGCGCAACGATCAGCCACTGAGATCTCCTGGGTCCTCCCCCCAGCCCCAGGATTGCCCGTCGGGGGAACCCTCCCTTTCCAGGACTGGTCACAAGAGGGGGCACATGACCCCCTGACTAAGGTGGCACCAGTTGCCCATGCTGTTTCCAATCTTTCAGCCCTAATCCTCAAGGGCTATGTACAGATAGTCAAAAAGCCCAAGGCTGAATTGATTCAGTCGTTGCAGGTTAGTTTAAACTGCGCAGATTGAGTTGAAATAAAAGTGAACAGAACTTTACCTTTGGTTCAGGAAATGCAACCACATGCCTGCAATGGCTCAGGCCAGAAGCTGGAGGGTGCTAAGGCACAGCTCTCTGGCTGTGCGTTCACTTCCTCTTCCTGTTGCCCCTGAGGTTTCTGGAATTTGCAGTCCAGAATTACAGTGGCAGGACTCGGTAGGGTTGTTCATTACTTCCTCTTCATGCTTCCAGGTGCCTGTTGGATTTGTAGTCCACAGTCACAGCTGGCAGTAAGTTTGAGCGGGGGAAGGGGTATTTAACACCCTCTCTGGCCCCACACCCCTACCGGGGTTTGCTGGGGGGGGCAATCCCCCCACAGACTAAGCTGCATCCCCAGCTGGGTTTGCCCCCCCCTCCCCCCAACCTTTGTCAGGAAGCCCTCACTGCTCCAACTAGAGAGCAGAGGGACTGGGCCAACCCTGCTCTCTAGAACAAATAGCACAGCCCAGCCCAAGGCTGGAAAGGATGCTAGGGAACTGTGATTTAACTTGAACCAGGAAGTGGTCTGGAACAGAAGTTTCATAAACTGGTTTGACCCAAATCAGTTAAATCTGATACTGTATTCAACCAGATTTATCTTAAACCAATTTCAGCCATTTTGAAACCGGTTCATATGCACTGAGCTTCTGTTGTTACAGATTTAAACCAGTTTTTGATTGCTTAAACCAGTTTGCGTGCAACTTCTGTCCCTAGCCAAAGAGAATTTACGAAACACTTTTCACAGACGAGGCAGTGAACTTCGTTTCATCAACCTACTGGATACAAAAAATCATGAAATAAAAATTGGATTTATGACACATTATAACTTGCCTAACATCTGACTCCCTAGGTAATCTCTCTACTATAAATTTCTCCCCCCCCCCCCCCCCCACCCTGTCTCTCACCTGTTGACTATCTCAGTTTACATTTTCACTAACTGGCTTTCTTGCATATATGCACTGGTTTCTGGTTTCTTTACTGTTCCATCTGGGAAGAGTACAGGCTAAATGCAGATGCTTCGTCATCCTGATGAAGGGTATTTTGTATCTGAAATCTTGTAAAGAAGAATTTTTTCATCTATTTGAGTTGGTCTAATAAAAGAGATTGGATTTACTGTAAGAACCTTGTCTGCCTATGTCCTTAGACCAACACATCTACAACCTATATCTCTGTCTCAAGACCTTCAGTCAGGAGTACAGATGTGAAGAGTATACTGGAACAGGGGTTATAATTCACAAATATCACTGC